ATATACACATATATATATACACACATATATATACACACATATATATACACACACACATATATATATACACATATATATATACACACACACATATATATATACACATATATATATATACATATATATATATATACACATATATATATATATATATATACACATATATATAGCATGACATGGCAGTTTATAACCCTTTGAGTACACAGGAACCCCCACCCCCCACACACATACACAGGGGTGCTATTGGGACCAGAAGAGGCCCTGTACGGGGCAGCAGATGGAAGGCTGTGGTGATACTCTATCTCAAAACGATAACACAAGCAGGTGAAACACAAGGTGCGCGTTTGTTTATTGCTGGTTGCTAGGAGCCACAGGACACCTGACTCATTAGCAGCAGCAGTCACGAGCATTTGTCATTCGAAAAAAATTAACTATTTGATAATAAAAACTATATATGAAATAAATAATGACCATCAAGGCAACAATAAAATCTCCAAGCAGAAGTTACCAAGCAGAAATGTGTCTGATGCCAGCACATGACATTTTAAAGTGTTTCACGGAGAGTTCAGAGCACAACCAGGAAACATGTGGTAACACTTTCCGTTGCAGTACGTCTGCCTCCTTCTTACTCGTGTCTTCGTGCCCTCACAGCTTTTTTTGCACCGCGCAGGCTTTCGGTGTGAATGTGCACGTGAACTCACCGGGATCTTGTTGGGGTGCTGCTCTCGGATCAGTCTGACATCTTCTACTCTCTGTTCTGTGGGGCAGAAAAAACAGACTCGGGTTGATGGAGATGTACCAGCAGGCAAAGGGAGAATCAGCTGGTACTGATAAAAAAAACACAAATGAGGTCATAGACAAAGCACAAACATATACAAACTCATGAACAGAGAAAGAGAAGTCAGTAAAATAAATAAATAGCAAGTCATGGTACAAACAAACCCACAGGCAGGTTTTACCAGAACGTCTGAGGCTCTGCAGAGCTCAATCTAATTTATACAATTAGCTATGTGGAGGTGTCACATATCATTCATTCTACCAAGGTCCTAACCAAAGCATTTTTTTTATTTTTTACTACTTTGAAACGTATTCATAAAGAAACCCTGATGTGCTTCCATTCTATGAGCCTAACATGGAGCAGGGTATAAACATCTGGGCAAAGTGGACTAATGCGCTCGAGTGGAAAACATAATGAGCTTTCCTAAAAATCCACTCATTGTAACCACATTGTTTTCAGTGATTAGCAGACTATAATCTTTGACTCGATTACTCCAATGTGTGTTCACAAGTGTGTGTAGTTCGGGATTCCTTACAAAGAGACGTCTCCTCCGTGTGTAGGGAATGATACTAGAATGTGTCAGTTACATCGTGGATATTTGATGTATTTACATATCTATGTGTGTATGTATTTATCTAGGGTGTACCTAGAACCCCTGATGCAATGGTAACATTACATATTCATTAAATGCCCTCAGTTTAGGCTGCAAAATATAAAATCATGTTCAAAGTGCAGGAATGTCAGCTGTAGAAGGGCCTTTTCAGCACCAAGTTTTCCCTCCACAGTGATAACTCAACGGGTCAGCTGCTGATTGGACGGATCGCTCAGTCGTCGATGACCTATGGCAGAGCAGGCCCCTCCTTTCTGAGGTTTAACCCCATTCTAAGTGATTTGTAACTGGGCCAAAATAAATGGCTGCAGATAACACCTTGGGCTTACTGCACTTATACTGACAACATAAAGACAGCTGCCTGATGGTCCAAATGGAATCCGTCGACAAACTTCAGCAAAAAAATCAGGTTTTGGACTTTGAATTTAAATGAAAACTTTGGTAGAAAGAGTGAAAAACACCAGGGCCCTGGCAGCTGTTAGAGTCAGTTGACACTTTGAAGTGAATGCTTTCCAGTCTTGTGACATGCCACTAAATAAATGTTTGGATATCTAATTCAATCAACAGACAAACGTTTATCTTCCCGGGGCCGCCGTTTTAGTGCTAAAGACGAGGAAATGTAGGACATTGTTCCACGATTACATTTCAACCAGGTTGATGAGATTACAGGGAGGCTCCGTGTGCGTTAGTGCGTCTCTATTGACGACACCAAGCGACAAACAGCCTTTGACTCGTCAGTTTCCAATCAAATAAAAGAGGAAAACAAAAAGGGAAGCTGTCGGTCTAACATGTGCCTGTGGGGTTTTTAATCACACATTCCTGTCATGTGTCATCATTTTGGAATTAATCGGTACCGCCTAGCACGACTGGAAGATTCCCTGTGGATCCCTGAGTCACCCTGTGACCTATCATACAGATGTGCAACTGGACCCGTTTCACTCGTCACACTCGGTGTGTAGCGACACATGTGATGAACACTGAAACATTAAAAGTGTATTAGCTGTGGAATCAGATATTACACAAGGCAGTGTCACATGGGTTAAAAGAAAAACACTATCACACTGTGAACACCACTAATACAAAAAAATGATATATATATATATATATATAGTCAAGTGACGGCCATAACAAACAGCTAGTGGTCTGCTCGTGACACCGTGTTTCTCTTTGCTGTCTGGCCCTCACGTGCTCGAGTTGTGCAAATTCGGACCAATTACGTGACGTCTAGCAGGAAGTCGGTTACTTTTAGTCATACTGGCAATTATATTCCCATTGCTGAGGGCGACGGTCCCCAGTTTCTGTTCGTTCAAGATGCGCAACACTCAAGAAAAGCCAAGGCCAATTTATAGAACTATACTGAGTTAATTCGTTTTTCATTTCTATTCTCTTGTGTACTAAATTACAGAAAAAGCGCCACAAAGTATGTAAGAGAAAGACAAGTGGATACACTTAGTTACATTGTATTTGAAAGAGAAAAAAAACAAGAGCAAGTCTCGTCTTTAGCTCTGTGATTTGAGAATCGTAAGTGAAACTAAACTCCGCACCGAGGCTGTGGCCTACCTTCGAACAAAAGGAAACAAAAGCTGAACTCCGCACTATCTGATCCCGTCGTCTCTTTCTACTCCTCTCTTCTCCTAAACACATACTGTCCCATCCCCCAATCCTGCAGCTCCCGTCTTTCTCTGCCCTGCGTTTCGACACCACTTTGTTTTTCTCCCGCAGCTCTGATGCAAATAAACAGAGAGAGAGTGAGACAGGCCTGCAGCCTCTCGGCCTAGTGTAATCTATAATATTATATATATATATATATATATATATATATATATATATATATATATAACATGCACGTATACCAGCGAGAACAGATATCATTAGAACTGTTATGTCTTATCTTCTTTGTAGATAAGTTGACACGAGCACAGGCCTCCATGGTTAGGTTTTTTTCTAACTAGCTCCAGCAGGCCATCTCCCCTGTGTGGTAAACAAACTGTAAACTCAACTAACGTTAGCTAGCTGCTAACGTACAGCCTTTACTTAAAAGACACAACGCAGAGGAGTTGCTTTTTAAAATGGTAAAAGCAGAGTGACATCACCTACCGAATGTCCTTCTTTGTTTGAAGGTTTTTTCTGAAGGCATATTGCGTCAAAGTCAACCAGTTGGCAGTAGACGGAGAAACGGAGGTAGCGGCTGTATCAAAGCGGAACTATAAAAGCTCAAAAACGGTTTGAGAAACTATCCGCGGTGTCTGTGCCGGTGGCTTGTTGGTAAAATACAAACTAAAGGACTCTAGTTTAGTGGAGGTCTGACGTCGCTGCTACCTTCCTCTTGCTGTGTTGTTGTCGGGACGAGCTCGAGCAAGCAAAACAAACCTGTCAGCTGACCTCTGACGTCATGTGCCTCTCTCCTCTCCTCTTCTCTTCTCTTTTCTCTCTCTCTCTCTCTCTCTCTCTCTCTCTCAAAAAAAAAATGTGCCAAAGCATCAAAATACAAAAGTTTAGAATAAAATGAATATGACTTGAAAATTTTCTCTCTCTCTCTCTCTCTCTCTCTCTGCCAAATTCAATTTAAGATAAAAACACTTTTAGAAACTTTAGTTTTCTCATAACAGAAAAGGGCAAATAATGCACCACCATTGAAAATATTAAATGTAAGTGAGAAAACTGTTAACACAAAGGTCTGTATTTTGAGTCATCTGCTCGAAATTAAAAACATGCTGTTTTCCCATTTGGAAGGTCTAATAATCTAGCATCGTTCCTTAATAAAGGTTTTATTCCAAGACCAGATCAGATCATCTTTTATCAATGTCCCAACATTTAAAACAGCAGCCTCTAATGAACAAGTCAGTTTGACTGAAAACACCCTGGCAGAAAAACAATATACTTTTTTATTATTTTCCAGTAGGCTGTATTCTTATTCTGCTACACCCATTTTCAAAATGTCTACATGATTTTATGGTCTAAGACAGTCCCAAACTGAACATCTCTTGTATGTCAAAAGGCTAGAGTGCTAAAACTCAAATGTGTGATGTCATCAAGTATAAAATGTGGAACTACTCCATAGATAATGACTTGTGAAAGATTTCAGATGACACTGAGAGCACCCAGCACAGTAAAACTAATTTCCCTATAAAAAAGGAAACAAACCTTCTGTGGGTCCACAAAACCGGTCATTGTCTCCGACTATGCTCTCTGGTTTCTGGCTTTGAGAGAGAACAGCTCAATACTGGTTCAACTTTCCTTGGTAATGGCAGTAACATCGGAAATCTTAATTTATGTGGTAAATCCACTTTATAATTAGTAGGGACAAACTATAACTGGGCAGACTGAGGGAAAACAGGACCATAACACCATGTCACTTTAGACTCTTCTAAAGAAAACATTTTCACTTCACAGTGATCAAAGAATATCTTGACCATTACATAAGTACATAAAGCAGCCTCATACTGTCTTAAAATAGCAGCTTGCACTGCTAATAAGGACACACGTTAGGAAACTTTTAGCAACCTGTGTTTGTTTTTACGGATGAAAAGCCAGTTATTATCATTACAGCATGTTAGTGCAGCTTTATAGCAGGTATGTGTAATGTTTTTAAATGAATAAACTGCTTATAAAACAGTTTGGTCATCATATCAGTTAAGCCTACTTTGTAGAAAACGCAGAGCGACATCGTCTAAACAGTAATACATGTCAGTATTAAAGTAACAAAATGTAACTGTCACCTCCACAGATGGATAGATCTCCTGTGGAGTAAAACTTCACTCAAAGTTCATTGACTCAGTGACAAAGTTCACTACTCAGTTTTCTGAACTCATTTTCCCTGAACCTTTGTCTGAATTTAAGCTGTCTGCTTGTATTGTTGGTATTGCAGTAGCAGCTCCTGGCGGTGAGTTTGACTACTTTGTGTACCGCTGGTAGTACATTTTGGTGGTGGAATAGAAGTGGGGGGGGGAAGGAATACCTTTAAATTGTAATTAAATCCAGGACTTGAGTAAATACACGTAATTACTGTTCCTCTCTGCTCATGGACACGCAGGGCTGATGGAAGTTGTAGTTCAAAGAATGTAGGCCAAGGAGAAGATGCTGTTCTATGTGTTGTCCAGCAGGTGGAGAACTCTGATCACCTGTTGAATCCCCGGAACCACGCTGGTCTCAGGGACCAGTGCAAAGACTGGTGCTGGTGAACCTAACTACACTCATTACTGCATGCAGAAATCACAAAACAGTTTTTTAAATTAGCTTGAGTCTTTGACTGTAATAAGGGAAGCCCCTGCTGCAATAGAGACACTGGCATTCTGACAACCTAAGAGTCAGGCCTGTGTTAGTTTTCCAAATGCACATTGACAACATCACCGTGTCCCTTCACAAGCATGAACACATACATGTAAGATGTCTTTGTTTTCACTCTACACTAGCACTTGCCTCTTCACCTTTCTTTTCCAGTTCTTTCTGTTTGGGTATAATGTGACGGTCTGAGTGTTTATCCACAAAGGACATCCCAGTGCATCCTATTTTTAGGCCGTCCATGCTGCGAAGCCCTTCCCCTGCGGATTTCCACCTGAAACCCCCCAACTGGTGCTCAGTCAGGTGTGTGCGAGTGCGTGCTGAAGGGCTGCACAGGGGATTGCTGTTTGTGTTTGTGTGTGTGTGTGTGTGTGTGGGTGCTGTGCACGTGCTGGCATCCAACCAGGTGAACAACGGATATATGAAGTCAGTTAGAAATAATCTGCAGCACACACACACACACACACACACACACACACACACACACACACACAC